GATGTACCTTGAGCCTTCTGTCAAAATCCAAGTCTAAACCAAAGATTAAACCTTCTGTCAAAATCTTGAGTCTAAACCAAAGACTTTCTCAGGTTTCAAAACATCCTTTTTTCTGTCTTCTAGGCTGTCATATCTCCCATTCGTGAAGCGTAGCAAATGGGAATAGGGCAGTACTATTACCAAGGTAGTCAGAATGTGCTCAGGACCAGATTTTCCTGTGACATATTCAGGTTGAATTCAAGGCCAGAGTAAGAATAGTGCCTTAGATGTAAAGTGAACACATGCATGAAATATGAGTGAGTCATACTTAAGCTATGTAATATTTCTCTGTGAATATTTAAAGCTCTGTTTTTTAAGTATATCTAAATGCAAAATTCTTTCATTTTCATTCTGTTTTTCCAAATTTTTGGCTGGTCTTAAGGAAATAGAAGGAGGAAAAACACAATTCTGGGAATAATGTACTTGCTGAAACAGCAGGAGGCCTTGTGCTCCTTTGCGTCTCCTTAAGCAGGGCTGAGGGCTGAGGCAGACTGGCTGACACTGGTGCTGGCATCCCAGAGCCTCCTGAAGCATGTCTGCATGCTGAGAGCTCCTTCTCCCCTCTTTCACCCCCCAGCTTTGTGCTCCCAGGGCTGTCTCTCAGATCTTCCCTCACTCCTCACTGCTAGGCAATTTGCCCTTCCTCAAGTATGGTTTACCAGAGACGTCAGCTCCACTGATAGGCCCGGCTGTGGCTGCGTGTGGTGGGGCTGCTGTGGAGCCGGCTGGAACCGGGTGGAACCAGGCAGCCCCAGCTTCTCCTCACAGAGGCCAGTGCCATGTACACAGCTTTCCTGGGCCAGAGCTGTGGCAATGTCTTCATTTCTCTGAGAAGAAACACATCGTGTTCACAAAGTCAGATGGGAGAAGTTTGGTTCTGTTCGGTATGGTCTCAACTGTTGTCCATTTTCTGCCATAGCTCTCTAAAAATCAGTAGAAGTGAAATGCAAGAAAAGGCTTTTGTGGTAAAAGTGGGTTAGAAGGATGTGAGGCCTGCAGGTGTGTTTTGAAAGACAGCCTGGCCGGGAATATTAAAGTTTGTGTTATAGTATGGGGGCCCTGGGACCTTTCTGCCCCAGTGTTCTTGTGACTTAATACTGGTTTTCATCACTTCCCACTTTCAGCCATGGCTGATGTGGAGTTTGGGGGATTTTTTTATCTTCTCCTGCTGCCTGTCATTGCAGAGAATCAGGCCTGAGTACCTTAGAAACACCAGCTAAGCGCTCTAAAACTATACCAAGGGTACTATATCGTAGGGCTGCACTGCATAGCATTACAGGGAAAGATATATGATATTATTACATTATTAATAAAATAATAATATATAATAATCTGCCAAAAAAATAGTATAGCTAGAACTGGTTTAATTCCAACAGCTTCTTTTTCTTGGTATAATAAATTTCTTGCACAGGAATTGTGTATGACATTAAGGGATTAAGGTTCCTGAGGCTTGTTCTTCAGAAATGCACATGTAAAACTCTGTGCTATCATAGGCATATCATTGTAGTTCATTATCTGTTGTTTTGTCTTTGGGTATGTAGAATAAGACAGATTGTGATAAATGCCCCCTTCTGCCTTGAAACTGTTTTGTACATTAAATTCCCTTTTCTCTATTCCAGAGTCAAACTTTTACCTGCAGATTTTGTTTCAGTTTAAAACTGAGTGCTTTTCTCACACTAAACATGACCAAAAAAACCTAGGCAGCAGAGCACTAAATCCATGGTGGATGGTACTCAGCATAGCTCTGGGATGTCGGCTTTCCTCAGATAATACCAATTCAGATGAGCAGAAAGTCTGTGCCAGTGCTTAACAAGTTTGAGATTCTCCAGAAATGTGGAGGATGCACTGTCCTTATTTTGATGACTGGGTTTTTTATTACATAAGGAAAAGAAATAAATGCAATAAAAGTTATTTTAAAGCAGTTAAATATTAGAAAATAGTTGTACCCAAACAAGTCTTCTCAGATACGTTTGCAATCAGCTGGCACATTTTGCATGATGACTACATATATGTCAATCTAAATCCTGCACTCTGATTAGCTTCACCCTAGTGAGGGGAAGGGCTTATAGCCATAACCCCAGGCACTGGGTTTGGCTTTTCTTGTCCTGATTGGAGGCACCTGTGCAGGAAGTGCCTGCTATTCCTAATATTGGTTGAACTGGAGGGAGAATTGCAGTAGGAATTTTGCTTGTGGAAGTAGGTATTTTAATACATTTTTATTTTCTTTAAGCATATGGTAGAAGAGGAGCAAAGAAATGCCTCTTTTTTCTTGTAGGATAACAATGTGCAGTATATATACTATCTGTCAGCTTTAGAGGTCAAGCATTTAAGTCTGAAAGTGTTGTTCCCTGTGGGAAAATATGCTTGGTAGTGTATGTAGGTGGAAATGATTTGTTAAGGCTGGAATGTGGTCACAGTGGTATAAATCAAAGATAACCTGGTAGACCATAAGCACCTTTTTTGTAACTGTTGAGTGTATTTTTAATTTAACACTGGTCTGCTGTGAATAGTCAACTGAATTGTCTGTTTGGGTTTTCCCAAAGGTAATGGGAGGAAATGTGGGATTGAATGTTTCTTTATTTAGGAAAATAAGCTTGTTTCTCCACAACAAATCTGTATCAGCTTTTAGGGAAAACAAACTGTATTTTTATCATGTCATTTTCATGTTTTCAACTCACCGCTAGATTCTTGGGTGCAATTGCACCATCTCAGAATTTGTTTCGTAGCTAGTGTTGTATACAAATTGGGGGTTAAATGAGAACACTCTTTTTGCTTAGTAATGGAGGAACAAATTACGCAAGCATCATTTCAACCCAGTTTTCTTTGTGATTCTTGATGAGTTTTGCTGCAACACAGGCACTCATTGTTCATAAATGACTTCATGACTGAAGGCTCTTCTTGGGGTGAGGTCAGTTTGCAGCAGGTTTTAGCAAATTGTAGTTAATGTCAAGTAAAATCAAATTTACACCTTGAAAACCAGGCAGATGTGCAGTTGTTTTCAAATGTCTATGACTCATCTTGATTCTCTATTTAAATGCTGAAACACTTTTTCAAACAACTTCTGTAAACAAAATTCATTTTAACAAAATGGCCTTTCTTTTAATTGGTTTTAAAATAAATCTGTTTATGTGGGGGATTTTGTGTGTGAAATGGCTTTTAAATAAGATATGGTTTATGGATTTCATAAAATGTGTTTTGTTTTTACTTTTACAAGGCAAAAGGTTTTATTCATCAATGGAAGAATACTACTTGGCTGATAAAGAACAGTTTCTCATTAGAGATAGGGCTTATAATTTAATGTGCGTAGGAAGTGATAAGCAATAGCTCCACTTCTCCAGTAATAACGACAGTTGTAATATACTGTGTATAAGAGAGGATTCTTCTTTTTACCCAAATCCAGAAGCATAGCAAATCTTTGCTAATTTTCTATGGCTAACCCTAAATCAGCTGAGCTGTAAAACTGTACATACAAAACTTAAAGTGCTTGTCTGCTTGTATTGATTTGCCTGACAGAAACCCTTCCTATGTTATTAATTCTAATGCAGAATAAGGGAGGGGAAAATATGATTACCACATGGTAGTGGTACAAAGAAATTCCTCCATAGAAGAGAATCATAGTCAGGGTTGCTGTTATTTTATTGCTGTTCCCAATTATTTGACTGTTTCACAGCAGTCAAAAATTAGATACTAATCAGAAAAAAAAAATATGTTAATTAGAAAAATTAATTCACCAATGGCCAAATCTTCTGGAAAGAGCAATAAATAGCTGTTTACTTACAAGCTGAACGTTTCGGGAAATCTGGCTTTCTGAAAACGCCAGAGACCTGAAAAGAAGGAAAAGTGGAATAACTGGTATTTCTTGACAAATCTGAGTGAGAGCTCATTTGGCCAATTCATACTAGCTTTTTCATCAAGATAATTAAAGAACTTAAAATTCCCATGAAGTTTCTGGAATGCAGAGTGATTCATAAAGAGAAAAAGAGATGAGTTAACAAGTTTTGTTAGTGTGTGTTGCAGGTGCTAGTACCTGTTTTCAAAACAGTGTAGAAAGCCTTACATCATACTTGGCTAGCTGAAATTCCAGGTACCATAGATGATAACCAAAAGATAATTACAGCATCCTTAAAATGCTGTAACCCCAGACCTTTATTTTGGGGTTTTGTTTTTTTTTATTTTATTTTTCTCATTTCCCTTCCTTAGATATTAATGTGTTTAGTAAAATTAGCACTGGTTCTGCTCTTTATATAAAAATTTCCACAGTGAGATTTTTCACAAGGTCTGTCAATAGTTCTACTGGGAAGGTAAAGATTTGCAGAAGAAGCAACTTCATATGGTCATAGTGGGATTTTGGCATCTTCTAAAATATTCATAGATGGTGCATATGCAACTCCTTTAAAAAGACTATAAATCTATTTGTACCTTTCATTCCTTCAGCCTCTAGGTTTAATCACAATTTTTGCTTTTGCACAAAAATCACATTATTTTTGAATGAACTTTTGAGAGTTTTCTTTTTCCTTTTCAGCTTTGCTACTGCTTACTACTGTCTCTATTTCTTTCACTGTTGTTGGCTGGAAGGCTCTTCTGATGCCTCCCCTTCTTTATACAAACTGATTTCTTCTGTTCATTGAAATCCTTCTTTTAAGTTCAGCTCTGCAGCCTCATCTGGTTTAACTAGTTTCCATAAATTTTCACTTTTTCATGTATATTGTCATGGAACTTGTTGCAATGTTGTTTTGGTTTTTTTTTATTATTGGTAGATCTGCATTTACTTTGTGACTTCTAAGCTTACTTCAGTATTTTAAGTAATCCTATAAAAATCTTATCTTTGTGTTGTATTCAAGCTGAAAATTTGGACCTCCTTCCGCAAACCTCCCCTCAAAATTACAGCATCTTAGATCAAAGGCTTCTGGATAGCCTTAACAGCATTATTTGACTTTTTTTCCCCCGCTTTCCTCTAATCCTTAGGGTTGTCTACTGAAGTGCAGACAGTTGTCTTTGCTGCAAGCCAGTTGGGTGAACGCCAGTTCTTGTTCAAAAGCCATGTGGCAGAGTTACTGTGACTATAAGCTGAAGCTGCTGTGTCCCGCCTCTTGGTTCAGGTAAGGCAGATGTGTCTCTGCTAATTTAGTTCTCTGCCTTTTTTTGAGATACAAAGAATTTGAATTGTGTTTGAAGGTGAACTTCTCCAGGACTAATACTATACAATGTGTAAATGAAGTACTGTACACATAACTGAGCATTTTCGGACTGCTGTCAAATTCTCATTCAGGACTTATAAGGTGTTTTTCTGTTTCATTTGAGTATTATCTTTTGGAAATTATGCTTTATTATTTTTATAAAAGAGATAGTTTCCTGGAATATTATGTATAATTTAAAAAAAAAAAATTGCTAAATAATGCTTTCAGTTTTGCTGACAAAGTACTGGGTTTAATGCTTGGTTCCTTCAGAAGAATGTGTTTACACAGTGGGTTCAGTCCTGAATGAATGGAGAGTTTTAGACTTTGATTTCATGGACAGAACTTCTCTGTCACTATGGTCCAAAGACAGATTTTGGGTTTTTTTCCCATTATTAGAAGCAGCAGAGCTGTAAGTCTTCTGGCAATGACAAGTTTAGTTTCCTGCTTATGAAGTCTGATGCAATACTACGGTGCCTTAAGTTAGAAATACAAGGTATGAAGGGTTTATGTGGAGAGAAAATAATCAGTGAAAAACATAACTTGTTGAATTGAAAAGACCTATTTCTGGATTTATACTTAGTTTGTATTTGTTATATTTTAATTTACATTCATGAGAATACATTAAGATGTACATCAATGTTCAAGTAGGGCTCCAAAGTAAGATAAGTTTGGAAACCAAATTGATTTGTATATGTTTAGAAACTTTTGGTCATGTCACAGAATTCTTTCCTTTGGACCTTGAAATTTGTGTTTCCAATTACTGTATGAGAAACTATAAATTACAGCTATACAAAAATAAATTATCACTATGTGGAGGTGAGAGGAGTAATATTGACACATAAATAGACAACATCAGATTTTATTAAGAAGTTAGCAACAGTAGGGGGAAAACTCACTGAATTAAAGATAAAAATCTGTCTGTGGAACTTATTCTTACCTCAAATACATTAATCTTTTGAGACATCTAGCTTTCTAGTTTTGGTAACACAGTTTTCTTTCAAGTACTGATGACATCCAAATCTAGATTGTGAATGGAGCCAGTCTGTTAAGGGAAATACCACTGCTCAATTATGGTATGATAATGTATTAATAAATAAGGTATTAAATAGTTTGCACTCACCTCTCATGTAGGTCAGATAAGGAAGACCTTTTGCTCATGTTATTTAGATAAGGAGAGGAAAGAAAAAGAACCAAAACCTGTTAAATCAGAATTACTTGCTCCTGTTCAGCCATTAGGAAATGCAGCTGCGACAGGAGGTGCATTTAAACTGTCTGGCTGCACTAACCTTAGAGCAGAAACATTCTGACTTTAATGTATGAAGACACAGCCCTTAGTAACTGCTATTAAATACTCCTTTGAAAAATAGTATTTGAAAAAATATCAGGACCATCTCTTGTGACCATTTGCACACCTATGAAATAAAGATGAGGTATAATGTCTTCTTGTACTCCAGAAGTCTGATGAACTGCAGTTCACAAAGTTGTCAACTTTATGTTATTAATTGCAAGTGTCAATATTTAGTCTCATCTGATACACCTTTTGAATTTTGAGAGGATTTAGTATCCTCAGTTCAATAAAGTTATTAAAAGTAAACATGTCCATCCATTTCTGTGACTTGCAACGTGGATTGCACTAATCAGCTGTGTAGCTCTGTCGATGTAGATTAGTTCTGGTCATGTACCTCATAGGAGAGCACAACTAATTTCAGTGTGTCATGGATACAGTGCATGGAATCTGTCCTGGCACTGGTCCTTAATGTTTATTTTTAAAATACCAGAATCTTCAGCAGATGTTCTGAATGATGAAACAAATCTAAACCAAATGAAATTACAAGATGAAATGATTAAGACTGCCTTTGAAATAGTGCATTTTCACTCTTTAGCTTTATCTTTAAAGAACAGATTAAGATTATTTTATGTACTGTAAAGTATATACATTTTAAGTTAAAGAAGTGAGAATAAAACAGCTTATAAATGGAGTTACCCTTTTAGTAGAACAATAAAGAGACACAAAGGAAAAATTAACTAGAAGAAAACAATCTCCTACATAAAAGGCAATTTCCTGTACTTTTGCTGTTCCAAAATCAAATACTTTCAAGAAATGAGCACAAAAAGAAGTATCTAGTAGGTAGATGTTCATCTTCACTGATAATTAGTTTTTAATTTGAAATGGTATCTTAAATTTTCATCATAATGATTCATCTTGTGCAAGCTTATGAAGATGGTGGAAAGTATTGACATGATAAAGCTAAAATTGTTTCTTCTTATTGAAGAAAGATATATAAATATACGGCTAAGGTACTTGCAGGTCTTTAAGTTCATAGAGATTGGTGAATGATGATTTCCTTTGAAAAAGAGACCAGTTTTAAGTCCTTGAAATTTTCTTCTGAAACTGAATCTGTGTAAGTGGAGTCATATCAACACAAAATTTCATTATGCCACTACTGCATTAAAAATCACATTATATGATCATTATCAGTAGTAGTAAGAATGGCTTGGCAAAAAATTTTACTCTGACATTGCAGAATTCTGTCAGTTTGAACTGTCTTGCAGATTTGTTGATTTCCTGCCCTGCTTCTGGCTCCAGAAAGCTAAAAATGATGTTTGGTTATTTGTTGTTAGAAATAATTATAGTTATTAGCTATTTCTATATCATATGTCAGGTTTTGGTTTTAAAGTTTACATGAGTTAATGGATGAAAACATTAAAAACAGTGATGTGGTAATGCCAGAAAAGTGTAACAAAGAGTTCAAAATATGTTTGCAGGAAAAATCCTAAAAAAAACAAACCAAATTGTATTCCCTTCATCTCTTTCATGCTGTCCAAGCAAAAGGCAAGAGGACAGGACAAAGCAAATGGTTACACTGAAGAATTTTCATGCTGCAACCCCATTTTTCCATAATTAATCTCCTGTTCTGTCATGATGCAGAAATAATGAAGAAAAGAGAATTAGTAATTCAGAAGACTGCAGAGATGTAAAGCAGTAGAAGTAGCTTGAAAAAATGTTTCACCCATAATTTAACGGGGTTCATAATTTGAGTTTTATAAGTATGGTAGCAAGTTAGTTGATATAGTTAAGTTATGATGCACTTACATGCTTAAACAGCGTACAGTAAAGTGCTCATTGTATTTGAGTATTTAGGATGCTTGGCTGGACATGGGGTGGGCAGGGGGAATAAATCTTGATTCAGATTTGTGGCTGTAACGCTTGTGCAGACATCCTGAATTATCATAAATAAATGTGGATTTTTAATCACATGAATTCACTGCCAAGCATTTCCAAACAGTGTGGTTTTGGTTGTATATGCTCGCAGAAGCTCAGACTTGGAGTAGTTGATGCCATTTTGGCAATATTTGTCAAGGGGCTTTCATAAGATACAAAGATGTTTAAAAATGGGCAGCTTCAAATAACTTTTAATGGGGAAAAAAATGTGAACAGAAGTTGAATAAATGATATTGTAAGGAAACAATTTGTGTGTGCTCGTATATATACATATATATATAATTGCTAAATAGCCTCTTGTGATTAAATTGTAAGCAGGATAATCTCCAAAAATTGTAATGCTAAAGAAATTACTAATATAGACAATATAACCTGAAAATTTTATTCACTCAGAACAGTATGTGATTATTCACCATCTACTTTTGATTCATTAGAAAGTCACTCAAAAAAGCCAGGTCTGTGCTATCAGTGTTTTAGGTAGACAGGCATAAACACTGACCTCTAGTAGTAGCCACAAGGCCTTTTGCTGTACCAAGTTTTGTAACACAAAAAAACTAATAGCTCTTAATCAAAAAGCAAAGTATTTGAATTATTTCCAAGAGATTTCTAAATAATGTGGGTTCTTTTTGTTTGGTTGGTTTTGGTTTGTTTGTGTTTTTTTTTTAAATATTTCTATGAAAGGATGTGGTTTTGACTCCTGTGTTTGAAAGGAAGTGAAGTATTTGCCTCTTTATTTTGAAATGTTCATAATGGTCAAGGGCTTGTAGTGTTAATAGGAATATTTCCAGTTGATTAAAAAAAAAACCTATCTAATGTTAAATCTTAGGGTTTATAGCAAGACTGTGTCACTTTGGATGAAAGAAAGTTGTCTGCTTTTATAAATTTCTGCATGATTAAATATGGCTTATCTATAGCATGTCCAGGTTTATGTGTATATAAATACACATTTGTATAAAAATAGTACATTTTTCACATTTCTTGCTTCTTCAAGAAATATCCGTCACTTTTCATCTTTGCTGTTATACTGCAGAAATTTGCATAGGCTTCCTACTAATAAAACAATCAGTTGAAACCTTTCATATTCTCTAGAATTAATCTAATTCCTTCTGCAAGCAATATATCTTGGATCTCTGCAGCAGTCTATGGATTCTTATGTCGTACAAAAGGAGTCCATTTTTTGTTTTCAATCTGCAGCATGCTAATTTCCCTGCTTGTTCTGGCTTATGTTGTAAGATAAAATGACTTATAGCTCTCAAATTACCTTCTTGCACATAATTTGAGCACTTTATCATCAGAGTTTTTACGCTTGAAAATATGTGTGTGTGCTGGTGAGTGATATTTGTTTCCGTAATAAGAGCAGAAGAGAATTAAATTACTACTGCTATTCAGAAGGAAATATTTTGATTGTTGGGTTCTTATCATCAAAGGTCTGTCACTTAGGCCTGTACCAGAATTCATGAGATGTTTAAATCTCTGGCTCTGGGCATGCATTCAGCCACAGACAGCCAGAAGCGCCAGAACTGGCTTTGTGGTTCTGTTTTGTTTTTCTTTATGGTTGTGCTATGGTCATGTGTATCCCCTGAACTCCTCATCTTTCTGACTGCTTCGCAGATGATGTATAGTTGTAACATGTCATCAGTGTGCCGTGAGAACCTATTATACTGCAATATATCATTAAAGACCCTTCTTTCAAGACAGG